AGGCTTAGGAGACCTACCAAAAGAGCCAGCACTTCAGAGCCACCATCCTGGGTAAAGGGAGCCATCTGACACTCCAGGTAGCAGTTGCCCTTAAGGCAAGTGCTGATTGGTAAGTTGTGGTCGAGAGCAGAAAGTGTCGTGGCCAAGTAGAGGATCTGAGCAATTGTCGGTCTTACGGGTCTGTGGACAAAAGCTTGGGCTCAGCCCTAGGAACAAGGCCACACAGGTCCTGTTGGTGCCCTGGGGGTGCTGTCGCATGGAGTGGGTGCTGACTGGACACAGACAGGACCTTGGGCCTGAAGCCCCACCATGGTCACCCCAGTTAGTGTGGGGCTGGTTTAGGATTCTCTGCCCTTACTTTGTGCTGCATGCCAGCATCCAAGGTGAAGTCCCCTGAGTCACTCAGTACCATTCAGAGCCACAGCTTATCCCCTTAACTTTTCCATGACAGTGATGAATATCAGCCATACTAGGAGACTAGACCACATGATTCAAAGGCAAGAGACATAGTAATGGAGTTTTCATACTCAGACTTCACATATAACTAGGATTGTATACTCAAGAGTTTAGCTATCAAGAATGAGCAATTTCGGCAAACAACTAGCAACCGTAAAGGGAAATTAGATGAATCCAATCACTTCTTTTCCTTTTCTTTCCTTAATTTTAGTGATTGAACCGCAGACCTCATACATGCTAAGCAAGCACTTTATCACTGAGCTACATCCTCACCCCTTTCTGTTTTTACTTAGAGACAAGAGTCTTTCTAGCTGCCTAGGTTGGCCTCAATCTCAAGATCCTTCTGGCCTTAGCCTTTGGAGTAGCTGAGATTATAGGTATGCACCATCATACTTAGCTCACAGAGTATTTTCAAACTGAACATTTAAAACAAGTGGAGAACTCAGTCAGTAGATGTGTTTATCAGCAGACTGGATCCACAGATAAAGAAAGAATTAAGTACCATTTTGAGAGTTTTTTGTCAGTACCCTTACACTTAAGGAAGTCCTGTACTGAACTCTTTAGACAGAGGAAAAATGATCCTGAATGGAAGCATGGAGACATAGGAAGTGATGTAAGGGTAAGTTTTGTAGGTGTAGCTAGTAGACTGTCTTGTAAAGTTTAAATTATATATGGAATTAAAATACTTAACAACAGCACCAAAAGTGCATGCTTTTATTGTAAGTACTAAATTGTATCTGTGTGTTGTATATTATAATCTCTATGGTAACCACTTAAAGTATAGTAGCATAATGTATAAATAAAAAGCAAATGCAGGGAAAATGAAATAACAGGGGTACTGGGTATTGAACCCAGGGCCTCAAGCATAGCAGGCGAGTGCTCTACTGCTGAGCTGCATCCCAGCACCAGTAGAATATTCATCCTAAGGAAATCAAGAAGGGAAAGGAAAAGGACAGAAGATGATGGATGGTTTGAATAGGAGATAATAGATTGATTGATTTAAATCCAGATGTTTAGTTGGCTATGCTAAATGTAAACAGACTTATCTACTGTACTGATTTTTTTTTTTTTTGGTACCAGGGATTGAACTCGGGTCCTTGGACTTGCAAGGCAGGCCACCGAACCGCTGAGCTAAGTCCCCGGCCCTCTACTGTACTGATTTAAAGACTAGTCAAGTCTTTTTTGAGGGGTGGGGATTGAGATGGGAGTCACAATATGTAGTATGGGCTGGCCTTGAACTCATAGAGGTCCTCTTGCCTCAGCCTCCTGAGTGCTGAGATTACAGGTGTGCCACTGTGCCTTTTTTTTTCTTTAAAAAGATCCAATTATATATAGCTTATAAAAGTTGTTTCTGGACATTTAGGATACAGAAAGTTTAATGTAAAGAGACAAAAAAAGTATATTGTGGGGAAAGGATAGTCAACAAAAATGGTGCTGGGAAAACAAGTTTACCATGTTTAAGAGAACGAGGTCAGACCCTTGTCTGACATCGAACATAAAACCACTCGAAAGTGGACCAAAGGCCTATGTAAGAGCAGAATCCCTGAAACTCCGAGGAGTCAACGGGAAGTGCTCCTGAATATTGGGCTTGTCGGTGATTTTTTTTTTTTTTTTGATGGGGTGTGTTGGTGGGGGCATATCACACCATAAAGTGCACGTTGTAAAAGCAAGAATAAAGAACTGGGACTGTCAGACTAAAACGCTCTGCACAGCAAAGGAAACAACAAAATAAGAGAGTAGCTCATAGATTGGGGAAAAAAGTCTGCAAAGTATTACCTGGTAAAAGTCTGATAATCCAAAATTTGTAAAGCACTCATAACAACTTCAGGCTGGGGATGTAGTTTAGTGGCACTGTGCCTGCCTGGCAAGCGCAAGGTCCTGAGTTTAATTCCTGGTACGGGGTGGGAGCAACCTCGTACAGCTCATGAAAGAAGAATAAATAATCCAGTCGAAAAATGGGCAAAGGGGCTGGGGATTTAGCTCATTGGTGCCACCACCTGCCTCACAAGTGCAAGGATTTTGATCCCTGCTACCTCCCACCCCCCAAAAAGGGATAAAGGGCCTAGAGATTTCTCCAAAGAAGATATAAAAATGGTCACCAGATAGATGAAAAGGTGCTCAACATCATTCATCGTTAGGGCAGTGTGAGTCCACTTCAGGCCTCGTAGGATGGCTACTAACAAAATGCTAAAAGATGGGTGTCAACCACCGTGTTGGGAGGAGGGAGCCCTACATAGTATTGGGAATGCAGTTTGGGGCAGACCTGAGGGAAGACTGGAGGTTTCTAAAGCGATGACATATAGCTGATGTGTTAGTGTATGAAGACAGCCCCATCCATTCAGGAGGTCAAACCTGCGAGTTTGAGATTAGTCTGCACCACAGAGCAGTGCTGTGCCTCTAGGGAAGAAAGTGCCACTGTGTGACCCAGCAGCTGTTGTGGATATACACCCAAAGGGAGTGAAGTCACCACCTCCCAGATAGGCAGCCCACGTCACTGCAGGTCACTCACAACATCCTAAGTGTCCACTGATAGATGAGTGGGTACAGAATCAATCTCTCTCTCTCTCTCTCTCCACACACACACGCGCACACACACGCACACACACACACACACTGTGGAATATTATTTGGCTTTAAAAAAGAACTCGCCATTTGCCACAGTGGAGTGCATGATGTCACTTAATAGAATCTAAATGAAAAAGTACCTATACAGAGACAGAATAAAACTGCATTTCCCAGGGGGAGTGGAGATGGGCTGCCAGCAGCAGAGGAAGTGGGGAGAAGGAGGTGAGAGGATACAAAGTTGCAAATGTGGAGCAGAACTAGGCCAGGGTTCCTGTGGCAACAAACAGGACTAGAGGTGATACAATTGGACTGTATTTAGGGTTCCTGCTGTATTAACAGATTCTAGCTGCTCTTGCCACACACAAAAAAAGGGCATCTGTGTGAGATGAGGGGCATGTTAATTTGCCTTGCTCTTGTAACCATTTAACAGGTATGTGTCCCTTACAGATACGCCTTAAGTATGCACAATTTAGGAAAAAATACGGCACTATGCAAACTTGCTAGGCTACAGCTACCTCATGATGTGGTTCGCAGCTTCAAAGCAGTTCATCTGTGTGATGTTTTTTTACTGTTCTCCAGGTGCATGAAGCCTGACAGGTGGAACTGTTACTGTTTGAAACATCTTGTTCTTAGGACAGTGCTCTGTGCCCATTTTGAGCTGATAGATGACAGTGTACATACTGACCCTGTAGGTTACTTGAGCTTTCAGTAGCATCCATTTTATTCTTCGTGCTTTCTGTTTTCATTCACTGACAGCTGTGGGTATTGTTAGCTCTGTCTTTGAGTTGGCTTCTTGGTGCCTCTGCCAAATGGTAATACATGAATTAGGCCAAAATAATCTCCTTGGACTGTAATATCTTTTAACTTTCAAAGGACATTCTCTTTTTTGTTTTTTCCTTGACTTTTATGGAAAAGTTCAAACATTTAAGAATGTTTGTGGGACTGGGGGGATTTAGCTCAATGGCATCATGCCTGTCTCATAAGTGCAAGGCCCTGAGTTTTATCCCCGGTACCAAAAAAGCAAAAGCAAAAAACAAAACCCAAACAAACAAATTAAAAAATAATGATTTTTGTAAGTTACTCTTCTCGTAGTGAATATAGCAAAGAGCCTTCATGGTATGGCTATTGTCTTCTACCATAAAGGCTTTCTGTAGATCAGGTAAGGACCTTTTTTTCTGTAGAGCAGGTGTGTAGCCTTTTAGAGAATAATAAATACAACTAGTTTTGGATGCAGTGTACTATACCTGAGTTAGGAACCTCTCAGAGGACTTGTTTCTTCTCTCCATCTGATGTTTTGGAGTCTTACTGCTTTCTGTCCAACTGAAGGAAAGGATTAAAATTAATTAAAATGATTATATTGGCTAAGATCTAATTCACCTAAAAACTGGTAAGTTTCCCTAGACAACCAGTGTTAGGGTGGTTGCTACTGAATTTGCATCCTGATGTATGGTAAGTGGATATTTTTTTTTAATCTGGGAATGGGTATTGTAAGCCTTTCAGCATTGACTGGACCTGATAAGGATATTAGCTAGGCTTTTTGGGAGGGATCTTTTACTTCTCTGGACCATGTGAATATAAACATTATTATATTACTCTGGGGGAGATAATCTATATCCTCTTTTCCTTCTTTGGAATATGGAACTTAATTGTGGAAATTTAAAACTTTTTTTCTTATAAATTTTACCTAACAGTGTCAAAATTGTGTAAGTTACTATAAATTACGTAATAATTTCTCTTTAGCAAGTCATGTGACCTGGACTGTCAAGGAAGTTTACTAGCAATGGGAGGTAGAACTCATAAATGTAGATTTTACCCTTATATTCATTATTATTCTCTTGTTTATCTTTGAACAGCTTGTTTCTTTTAGCAGTTTTGATGAAGTCCAGGAGCGTTCTTTATTACTTGGGCAACTGTCCTAAGTTCAAAGAGCAAGAAAGTTGCATCTGGATTAACGCTAGCTGTTTTTTTTGTGTTAACAGGCAGTAAAATCAGCGGTGCAGACCATCACTGTTGGAGGTGTGAGCACGTCTCAGTTCAAGACAATTATTCCTCTGGCCACTTCGCCCAATGTCCAACAGATCCAAGTGCCTGGCAGCAAGTTCCATTATGTCCGACTTGTCACTGCCACCACCGCCAGCAGCTCCACACCGCCCACCAGTCAGAACCCCAGCACCAACACTCCGCCTCTGCAGCAAGGTGAATACACACTTTTCAAAAATAGTGGTGAGTGCTTCTAGGGTTATCACAGAGCATCGGTTCTTTTCTTGCTGAAATTTTAATTAAACACTCATTTCAGCTGGCAGCTGGACTCCACAGCTGATGTAGGAGACAGTGCAACAGAGCAGAGTGGCATGTAACTCACATTTCCTCCTGCGGGAGGACCTTTGGCTAGAGTTATGCTATAATACTGGATAGTCACAGCGACCGTACTTGGAAATGTTTGGTTTGCTATTTTATTGCTGGTTTAAATCCCACCATTAATGCCATTGGGATAGACTCAAATTACTTATTTTAGTTTTGAAACTATGCAGCCCCTTGGTAGGGTTTGCGTCAGTTGAAATGACAAGTAGGCAAGGTACAAATGAGTAAGGATTTAATATTGCTTTTTCTCTAATTTTGTGTATGTGTGTGTGTGTGTGTGTGTGTGTGTGTGTGTGTGTGTGGTTCCGGGGATCAAACTCTCAACCTTGCGCTTCCAAGGCAGGTGTGGTGCCACTGAGCTAAATCCCTGGCCCTTTTCTTTAATTTTGAGTAGTACTTATTTTGAATTGGTAATTGCTAATAAAAAGTGACTAAAATATTCTGTTATTTTGCTTAGTTGTAGTTTTCCAAGAAGATATCCCTCTTTTGTGGTGTTTCTGTTTAATCCTTTCTACAACCTGCATCAGATACGCAGACACATATATAACCTTTCCCATGTTTATCTACTTTGTAAAAAATTAAATGTTATGAGGTCTTGAGTTTTTCTTTTATTATTTTTAAAAATTAATTTTATTGGTACATTTAAGGTATGCAATGTAATGACATTCATCATTGGAAATTTGCACCTTTACATAATCTATCTTGATTCTTATTTTTTCCCCATTCCCCTGCTCTCCCTTTAACCCCTCCACCTCTCCCTAGCTGCAAAGATTTTGTTTCCATTTTTTCTTTTTTTCATATTAATTCCATGCCCATCTTTCTTTTTCCCTACCCATCCCACTTCTCCTTCCCCTTTGCTCCTTTTCTTCCTCTTTCACATTATCTATTATCCCTTTTAGTCCTTACTTACACTTTCAATTTCTCATACTAGAGAAATTATTCAGTATTTAAACCTATGCATCCTATTTATTTCACTTGAGAATTGCCTCAGTGTACATCCATTTAGCTATAAATGTCTCTAGTTTCTCATTCTTTATGGCTGAGTAGTACACCATTTTATATTTTAAAAAACACTTTGTCTTTATTCAGTCTCCTGTTGATGGGCAGTTAGCCTACTTCCAAGTTTTAGCAATCACAAATTGTGCTGTTATGAACGTGCATCACATATATCACTGTGGTATGATTATTTTAATACTTTGGGGGATAGCTGGGTCAAATGGGACCACCAATCCTAGTTCTTTGAGGTCTACCCTCCCACTAGCAGTGAAGCAGGCTTCCTTTTTCCCCACAGCCCTACCAGCATTTGTTATTGGTTGATTTCATGATAGCAGCCATTCTTTCTGGGGTGAGGTGGAATCTCAGTGTTGTTTTCATTTGCATCTCTCGAATGACCAGTGATGTTGAACATTTTTTCATATGTTTATTTGGTATTTCTACTTCTTTGAGAGATGTCTGTTCATTTCACATGTCCATTTTTGTATTGGTTTCTTTAAATTTGGAAGGTCTGCTCTTTAAAGTTCTTTATATATTCTAGATAGTAGACATTTGTCTGAGGAAGAGCTGGTGGCATTTTTCCCACATTGTGGGTTGTCTCTTCACATTATTGGTTGTTTCTGTTGCTGTGCAGAAGCTTTTTAATAAGAAGAGATCCCACTTGTTGATTGTACTAATTTACTGAGGTTTTGTCCATGAAATCTTTTCCTACACCAATGTCTTCAAGAGTTCTACCTAACCTCTTCCAGCTGGTTTAGTGTTTCTGTCTTAATATTTAGATCTTTAATCCATTTTGATTTTAGTTTAGTGCATGGTGAGAGATATGTCTATTTTTAATCTTTGGCAAGTTCAAACCGAGTTTTTCCAGTACCATTTATTAAAGAGGCTTATCTTTCCTCCATTGAGGGTGTTTGGCTCCTTTGTTGAAGATGAGGTGGCTGAGTGTGTCTGGAATTGTTTCTGTGTCTTATCTGTTCCATCCTCAGGCCTGTTTCTTTGTCAGTACCATGTTGTTTTTATCATAGTAGCTTTGTCAGGAATTGTGACAGCCCTTACTTTGTCTTGTAATTTGTTTCTTTTCTCTAGCTGCTTGTAGAATTTTGTCCTTCTGTTGGGTTTCTGGAATCTTAACTGTTATATGTCTACATGTATATTTTTTTTATTATGGCTAGTTGGAGTCCTATATGCCTCACTTATCTGTATGTCAAGTTCTTTTCCCCTATTTGGGAAGTTTTCGGCAATTCTGTGAACAGTTAAGAGATTTTTATTTTCCTGGTCACTAACTGTAATCCTATTTCCTATATCTCAGATTCTGTCCTCTCACTGGCTCGTTCTGCTGTGTAAACTTTCAGTGGAATTTTTAATCTCCTGGAAATCTGTTTGCATCTGTTTTGTGAATTCCATTTGTTTTCTTTGTTTGAATTCCATCATGTTTCTCAGCTCTTCTTTTTTTTTAAATCTGTATCTGCTCTAGATTTATTTATCGTGTCTTATAGTATGGGCACAATATCTGCTGTTATCTGAGAAATTATTTCTGATTTCAGTTTTTCCATATCTTCTTTCATTGCCAGTTCAGGGAGTCCAGGTGGTTGAGATCAGATTGTTCCATCTCATTTCCCTTTGTAGTTGCCTTAGGTGATCTGGAAGTCTGGTTCTGAGACTTATTTCCATGTCTTCTCTTTTCGACAGATGCAGCCCGCTCTGCTTTTGTTGAGGGAACTTTTTGCTAATCTAGTGGTCTTCAATTCTCAGCAAGCCGCTGAGCAGCCTTTACTCTGCTACTCCCCAGTACACCAGTTTCTGGGTTTAGAATGGTGGCCTTCTATATCTCTGAGCTGACCTGTTGTCTGGGCGGGCTTTTGGCTGGGGTCTGTGTGTACTTGTGATGGTATGTAGGCATTTCTCTTGCTGGGTCTCCTATGTAGCTATTCTCTGGGGGGCATTTGACTGGGGCTGTGTACCCCAGTTCCTGTTGTCTGCCTAGGCTTCTGGTTAGGGTCTCCAGGCATTTACTAATGGTATCAGGATGAGCCTGTGGCTGTTGCTTGTGTGTCTGTGTAGTTCTTTTCCAGGTGGGTCCTTGGCTGTGGTGCATAGTATGGCAGGACTCTGGATGAAGCCTGTGAGCCTGTACAGCTCTTTTCTAGGCAGACCTGTGGCTTGGGCACATGAGCCCGAGCCTCTGAGTTTGGGGTGGGGCCCTGGCTGGGATCCGCACCACTCTGGTCCACACAGCTGCTCCCCAGGATGTGCGCGCACTTACCCATGGTATGGCAGGACTCTGGATGAAGGTTGCACACCTGTGCAGCTCTTTTCTAGGTAGGCCCATGGCTTGGGCACATGTGCCCACATCTCTGGAGTTGGGATGGGAGGGACCCTGGCTGGAGCTTGATTTTGTCTTTGGAAAACTGCTTTATAGTCTAGCAGTGTCAAAAAGCAGTTGAAGAGCCAGGGATTTAGCTCAGCAGTTCCGCCACCTGCCTTGCAAGCGCAAGGACCTAAGTTTGATCCCCGGTACCAAAAAATAAAGAAAGAAGGAAAGCAAGCAAGCAAGCAAGCAGTTGAGGCTAGGTGTGGTGGCACACACCTGTAATCCAAGCACTGTGGCAGCTGAGGCAGGAGGATCATCCACTGAGTTTGAGGCCAGCTTGGGCTACATAACAAGTTCAAGGCCAATCTGAACTATATAACAAGTCTCTGTCTCAAAAATTAAAGCAGTTGATGGCTTGTTGAATGATTGTTTATTGAAGTAATAGGGGGGCGGGGATAGAGTTCTTATAGCTCTGTGTGCTACGAAGACTAGAGTTTGCAGCTACCTCACACTCACCTTTGAGAAAATGGAGTAAACACATTTTTGTATCCTACTAAATTGGGCATATCAAGTAATTATATTTTCTAATCTCACTTTAAACTGATTTTGGAAGAAAATCTTTTTATAGCATTCTTTTTCTGGGGGGGTACTAGGGATTGAACTCAGGACCTTGCACTTGTGAGGAAGGTAGTGGCACCACTGAGCTAAATCCCCAGCCCCTTTTTATAACATTCTGAATGAGAGGGAAAACGAAATTTGCATATTATTGACTGAGAAATTCAGTTCTGTATTCTCTCAATATAGTACTTTAACTGCAGGGACCAAAAGAAGTGCTACTAGCCTAGTGCACTTAGGTGTCGTGGTGATAGAGATGGTCATTTGATGCTGTTGGCTCTACTGTGTGTGCGTGTGCTTATAGTACTTTAACTGCAGGGACCAAAAGAAGTGCTACTAGCCTAGTGCACTTAGGTGTCGTGGTGATAGAGATGGTCACTTGATGCTGTTGGCTCTACTCTGTGTGCGTGTGCGTGTGTGTGTGTGTGAGTGTGTGCAGGTGTGGAGAATCCAGTTTTTCAAGACAAAGTTGACACTGTTGTCTTATTGGCATGAACAAGCTTTTGATCTAGATGAAAGGGAGCTGAGGTGAAGACTCAGGAAAATGGAGGAACAGACTGCACATTTAGGGTGCTGCCTTTTCCAGCTCTGTCTATTATGTTGCTCTACTTTTTTCATCTTCTGGCAGTGCTGCTGTTTCCCAAGGTTATTCCTTGAGCCTCTTCCTCTCCCCTCATTTTCTTCCCTCCTCCTTCCCCCTCTTTCCCCTGAACTAGGGATCAAACCCGGGGCTGCTCTACCCCTTTATATTTTTTATTTTGAGACAAGGTCTTGCTAAGTTGCCCAGCTGGACTTGAACTTATAGTCCGTCTGCCTCAGCCTCCCTCAGTGCTGAGATTACAGGCACATGCCACCATGCCCTACTGACTGCTTTTTCTTGTAATTCACTGTCCACATTGTCTCTCTGTCTCTTCACCTCCTTCATTTTCCTCTCGGTACTCTTCAACCCATCACAACCCATCACAACCCATCACACATTCTGGTCATACAGTTTCCCTTATATTCACCTGTATTTGTCTTTCTTTCTTGTCCTATAAAAGATCTGAGTATGTATATATGTTATATGCTAATTTATATATAGATAAGGGCAGATACTTAACTCACAAACTAGAAAGCCTCAGACACTTGGTGGCCTGGTTGCTGGAGTTTGGAAGGATGCTATTATAAAAAATTGTTTAGCATTCCTGTGAAAACTGCGCAATGGAAGATGATGGCAGCTTTTCTGAAAACTGCAGTAGTTATTAGTAGCAAACGCCAGTGAGGAGGAGGAGAAACACAGGTATTTGGCTTTGTTTTATGCCCTCCTGTCCCCAGGTTGTCAGGGTGCTGCGTCTGACCATTCCTTTCACATTGCTCTCATTCCATGGGTCAGGGAGACTCCATGTGCTCTTAGTGCCTATGTTTCTTACCTGCCCTTCTTGGGTTGGATGCAGGGACAGTGGGCCACACCTGCCCACACTCTCAACAGCAGACAGGAAGTGAGTCCTTCACTCTGTGGGATCTTGCTTTGACTTGCAGACTGCCCCATGTGCTCCAGAGCAGGTGTGCGGAATACAGGCACATACCAGACTCACCCCATCACTCCACCTAGTGTGGCTGAGACAGTCTGCAGCAGTTAGTGTAGCTTCACTAATGCTTTCCTGTACCTGAGAAGAACCAAGCCAGAGCAGAGGCAACCTTGGGTGGATGTTGGATGTCACTGATCCTTTCTCTTTTATATATTTATTTTTATATTGAAACAGAGCCTTGCTCTGTGGCCCAGGCTGTTCTTCAATTCATGGGCTCAGGTGAATCTTCCACCTAAGCCTCCTGAGTAGCTGAGACTACAAATGTTTGCCACTGTGCCTGGCTTTTTCAGCATTCCCTATTCCGTAGTCATACATTCCTCTGTGTCACAGACTTAGTGAGATACAGTGTATATGTGTACCATAAAATTTTCTCTTTTATTTTTATTTTGAGACAGGGCCTTATTAAATTGCCCAGGTGGGCCTTGAACTTGCAGTCTTCCTGACCCAGCCTCTCAGAGTGCTGGGATTACAGGAGTACACTACTACACTGGCTCAGAGTTCACCCTTTTAAGGTGTACAGTGTACAGGAGTTCAGTGAATGCCGAGAATTGTGCAGCTGTCACTGCTTCTACCACTCTGGGCCTCTAGTGTGTACCTGGTGCTGTGGCCTGCACTTTCGGATCCTTCTTGTCAGATCTCTCTCCCAGGACTCTCAGCTCTTCTGTCCTCAGCTATTAGCCCTCATATCTTCATCAAAAATACAAACAAGAAAACTCTTACTGTTGTGATAGCTCTTCCAGGTTCTTTCCATTATTGTGACAGCAGTGTGATCCTGCTGTCTCCATCTGTCTCGAGGCCCAGAGAGATGCTGTCCTTCTTTTGCCCTTCCCATGTGGGATGACAGGAGGTGGCTTCAAGAGCTGCACTTCCTCTGTCCCTGGACAACACTGACCTCTTCTTGCATGTCACCTGTTACCTCTCTGTATCTAGTTCGTCCTCCTCGGGTTGACTCACCCTTGAATATAGGCCTCTCACAGCTGTTACTTTCCTGGCTCCGAGAGCCCTGCAGTGGCTGCTCCCTGTGCCCTGCCTGTCCCCTGCACTGCAGCTCCTCATCTTGTGTTGGAATTCATGTCCCTTGCCTCCCTAGGTCTCATCTTCCCCCTCTGCATCCCCTCCACTTCTCATGCCTCTGTTGGCTGGGCTGCTCTCTCTGTTGCATAACATTGATTGAAGGTCTCAGTCCTATGTTATCCCTGTACTCCATTCACCCTGTCTTCTTCTTCTTCTTCTTTTTTTTTTTTTTTCTTTTGTATTGGGGATTGAACCCAGGACCTTTGTAATGAGCTATAACTTTAGCCCTTGTTATTATTGAGGCAAGATCTCACTAAGTTGCCCAGGCTGGGCTTAACTTACGTTTCTCCTGACTCAGCCTCCCAGAGTCTTGGAATTACCATGCACCATCAGCCCTAGCTAGGAGAAAGGTTTCCATATTCTTAATCTCTACCAGTAAGACATGTATTCTCTATCATTTGAAATCGTACAATTTGTTTATTTTCTTGAGTCGTGTTTCTTTTACTTAGGACTTGCCTGATCTATTCTACTAGAATGTAATCTCATTACAAGCTGAGGCAAGAGGACTATAAGTTCAAGTCCAGCTGGGCAACTTAGCAAGACCTTGTCTCAAAATAAAAAATATAAAGGGGTAGAGCAGCGTCCGGATTTGATCCCTAGTTCAGGGGAAAGAGGGGGAAGGAGGAGGGAAGAAAATGAGGGGAGAGGAAGAGGCTCAAGGAATAACCTTGGGAAACAGCAGCACTGCCAGAAGATGAAAAAAGTAGAGCAACATAATAGACAGAGCTGGAAAAGGCAGCACCCTAAATGTGCAGTCTGTTCCTCCATTTTCCTGAGTCTTCACCTCAGCTCCCTTTCATCTAGATCAAAAGCTTGTTCATGCCAATAAGACAACAGTGTCAACTTTGTCTTGAAAAACTGGATTCTCCACACCTGCACACACTCACACACACAC